TGCTTGTGATGAGGGATCCTGCTGCTGGGGGGGCACAGGAGGGAGCTGGTCCCTTGGCCAACCAGGCTTGGTGGGTCAGAGCCAGGCTGTGGGCGAGCAGACGTGCTGATGGTGGGAGATACTCATCGCTGCTTTCCTGCAGCAGTGGGTTCCACAGGATCCTGCTCCCCCATTCCTCAACATGAAGCTTGACAGGGACAGCTAGTGAGTGACATTCCCACATAAGACCATTGGAGCTTGGCTATGGGATGGGACGGAGAGGAGCTGCTGTGCTGTGCTGCGGGAAGCTGGAGAAGGTGCGAATGCTGGGGATTTTGCAGCTGCGATGTGGATGTTGAGAGTATTTGCATGGTGAGATCATTGGGAGGGATAGGAGGCATTTATTTTGTTTCTTTGAAGTGTCAAAGTTTGGCTGTGGTTAAAAAAAAAAAACCAGCATTGTTCAGGGAGCACAGGTGGCCTTAGTGATGTTAAGCATTTCTCAGGTGTTGGGTAAACACACCTTGCTGACAGGCTCACTTATATTGCTTGCCAGCATGCAGCTTAGGAGTGGATTTACCTTCAGGCCTGACTGGCAGGGATGGATTGGACCTTCTGGAACTTCTGCTGCAGTGTGTGCTGCCCGGCATCATCTCCAGCTTCATCACGATTGGACTAGATGATTTTAGTGGCCTTTTCCAACCTTAATGATTTTATGATCTCACCTCTCCTCCCAGCGCAGAGACTTGGGATGATGTTGATGCACTCAACTGCTCATTTTCTGTGCGTTTATTTTTTTACTATTTTGCTTCCAGAGCTATTCTAAGTTTGCTAGTGAGGGTGAGAGGAGATGGGGGATGGGGCAATATTGTGTGTTTATAGCCTTTTTTAAAACTGATTTTTCTTGCACCGTTGCCCATTGGGGTGAGGGATTCGACTTGGACTTCAGGGATGAGGTATGGGAGTGGCTTGCGTTGATGTTTTTGTTGGTTTTCAGTGATTTCTATTCAAGCAGCCATCCAAGTTTTTATTTTTCCTGGTGGCAGTAGGGAGAGAAGAGGATTTTCTGGCTCATAACAATAAGTGGCAGAGCTGGTACGCAAATTATGTGGGATGCAGGATGCCATTACAAGGTCCAGATCTACCTACTGTCTAGTGACTAGGTCAGAAAAGATTGGTCCATGAGAGACTGGAAGAAAAGACTGTGCTTCTCTAGCACTGGCCGCCATCTGTGCTTGCACCAGCCACAACTCTGTTCCCCTTGTGTGACGTTCTCCTTGGAGCACAACTAATCTATTCATACACTTTACCTCTCCTGCAAGTGCTTTGTGTTTCAGCTCAAAGGCTGAGGATGAGGATGGCTCCAAGGACAACATAGTTGGGAGCCCACAGGAGTGCTTTTTTAAAAAATTTTCCATCCTCATCGGACCTGTCTTAGGTGGCACCTTCATTGATGATGTGAATGAGGGAGTAAATAACATGCTAATGACTTTCCCAGATGATGATGATGAAACAGGTTTGTACCTGCTGGTGAGGACATGGAAAAACAACAGAAAGGGAGGTAGCGAGGTCAGAAACATGCAGAAAAAGATACAGTGAGATTTGCCTTGGGAAAACACAATCAAATGCACCTGATGGCAACGCAGCTTGAAAGAGGTGGTTTGCAGGGCTGACCGTTGCAGAAAAGGGATGATGTGTGCAACTAGACCAAGGTGTGACAGCAGATGGTATGTCAGACGTGGGCTTGCAGAGTAACTGCAACCTACTGTAGGGAAGCTACATTAGCAACAGGCTGGATTCAGTGATCTCCAGAGGTTCCTTCCAACCCTTACATTTCTGTGATTCTGTGATTGGGACAACAATGGAGACAAGAGGTGGCAGCCCGCCTCTCTGGCTGTTGAGATGCTCACCCCTTGGTGCTTAGCACATCATTGTCAGAAGAGCACATAGATGGCTGAGAGACAGTTTCCATTGAGGATCTGTACAGAATGGCTCTAGGGCTTGGGAGTTTAATTTACGAGTGAGGATTAAGGGCTAAAGGTGTGCAGCTTGGCTGAGATGTGGCTTAAGTGAAAGGATATGATGGGAATCCACTCACCTGGAAAGAGCCAGCATCCCAGGGGAAGCATTGCTGTGAGCAAGTTGGAAGGGGAAGAGCTTCCTCATGTATCTGCTAGACTGGAGATTCTTCTCCAAAAGGACATTTCTGGGAGTCTGTTTATTTGAGACTGTGCTAATTCTGTGCCTTGTTTTAATTCTGTTTCACCAGCAATTCCTTGAGTGATCTCTGCAGGCTTGGCCAGGGCTTCTCAGCAGTGTCAGCAGATGCTCACTTTGCTGTGCTGTGATGATAAGAGTGAGTGGGAGAAGCCATGAGATCTAGGCTCACTCTTCCTACAGCCATGGGGTGCTGTCCATGGCACAGGCTGTAGGTGATTTGTCTCAGGGAGTGCACCCATTTCTTCTTGGTTTTCTGCTCAGTTCTGCCACATTTTTCTTTTGCATGAGGAAGTGCTGTGAAGATTGTGATGCAGCAGCTCTTCTTCCAAATCAGAGAGACGTCGGAAGGATATCATTAGCCATACGTGGGCTAACTGCTAATAAGTCACTCAGTTCCTCACTGGCATGCACACAGGTTTATCTGCACGTATGTACAGGCTGCGCACTCAGAAGCACCCTCAAACAAGGGGCACGTGTGGTGATCAGGGAGTGCCTGGGAGTGCCCCACTGATGGGGTTTTCCCTCTGCCTCACTATGTCACAGTGTGAGAATCCTTCTTAATGTAGGAAACACACTGTGATCACAGCCTCAGGGCTGGTAGTCTCAAGAAGGAAAGGGGCAGCTGTCATTTCAAGGCTGCATTTAGCATCTGGACTCCCAGAGGGATTCACCTGGCCCCATATCCATAGGACTTTGAATGAGTCATGCTGAGTAGCGTGGATCAAAGTGGATAAACTGCCTGAGATGCAGCCACGGCTTGATTTGTGTGTGTGCTTGATCTATGATGGTTTGTCAGCCCATGCCTTTCCCCACCAGCCACCCCTCTTAGATATGAGTACAACTGCTATGGTGCCTTGGACAGATCTGCATCCAAAATCCCAGCTGCATCTGGCAACAGTGGGATGGAGGAGTGATTTTTGTTAGGAAGTAAAGCAGGGAAGTGATAAAGGAGTTGTTTCCCCCATCCCCTTGTTCAGTTGTGTTGTTAATCATGAAGCTTTGTATGTCACTTCTTGGAACTGTCATGTCCTCGTCATGTGGATGCTCTGAGCACTGTAGTAAGTAATTTCTCCTGGCTGTCCCTGCTAACCTTTCTCCTCCATGTTAGTGGGAAAAAAAAGCTGGGTTCAAACACATTGTGTTAATGGTCTGCAAGAGAGCTAGCTTAGAGCAGGTGATGGGGAGATGGTGGGAATAGGGAGTGGGAAAAGTGGTATGAGGAGTTGCATGGGTCCTTGGGGTTAAAATTCTGGTGAAAGTGAAAATAGAGATGTTGGGCAATGGGAAAGATGTGCTCCTGATTTTGTCACAGGGAGAGAAAAAACACAGTGTTCCCAAACCAGTCAGAAGACACAATGTGTGTTTCTTTCCAGTAGCTGCAGGACTTTGGGGTAATGAATTCAAAGAGTCTCAGTGCTATCCCCTAAGGGACCCTATGTCTGCTTGCTAAACCTCTGCACTTGCTACTCATTGTTCTGACAAATGCTAAGCTTTGAAGAACAAGCAAAGCTTTAGATCGAAGCACCTGTGGGAAGCCAGCGCCAAGGGAATAAGGTGGGCAGAGCTTTCAGGATCTTAACCAAGGGTTAATATGGGAGTGCAGCCCATGGTGGAAAGGTTGGTTGGATCCACGGACAGCACTGGCACAAAAGGAAGCTCAGGCCAAAATATCAGAGCATGGCAAGGCAGAGCAACATCAGCAGAGATGCGTGGATGCTCTGAGATCCTGACGTGAAGGGACCTGAGACAAGTGTCTGGCAGGAAAACCTATGAAGGGAGAGGGTGGTGAGATCAGCTTTGTACTGTGGGTGTTGGTGATGGACACAGCCTCTCCTGCTGCAGGTCGGCTCCTTCTGCCACGTGATGTCTCCAAGGGCTCTTGTGACTTGTACTTGTAGCATGGGTACTCCATAAATGGAGTACATCAAAAGAGTCAAATGTAGAAAAAAAACATCAGGCCACCACTGAGCAGTCCTTGGATGAGCAGTCCCCGAGGTCATCACTAACACTCTTTCAATGGAGACCCTGGAGTTTATTTAATTTCCCTAATTTTGACAAGCTACTTCCACTATGTTATTTAGTAGAAAACGTTTGGCTTTGTGTTTTCCCAGAACAAGGCTGCTGGTAAGTGCACCCAACCAGCAAAACAATGTTCTTTAGCACAGACATGGTGCTATGCAGCATACAGGTGCCACTGAATGAGACCTGTTGTTTTGCTTTTCCTCTGCCCACCTTCCTAGTTAGTCAAATGACTATTGCAACCCACCTACCCATTGATTCCACTGCTGTAGTATAGAAGAGATCCACAATCTCTAGTGAAGAGATCCACAATCTCTAGTAAAGAGATTCATTGAATGCCCTCTTCTAGATTGCTTTACATCCACCTCTTGGAATCATAGAATCATTAAGGTTGGAAAAGACCACTGTGATCATCTATCGAACCATCAGTGAGTGCCTGGATTGTATGGTTTTGACATACATTTCACAATCTTGGTCTTAAGGGGACTGTTTAACACAAGTTGTGGTGCGATGTCAGCTCAGTTTCCTCAGCTGAGAGGGCCATGTGAAAGGCTGCAAGGGCAGGCTGGCTGTGACGTGTCAGTGTGTCCACCTCTCCAAAGTGAGCAGACATCATCAGCCGAGAAGATGCAGCACCACGCTAGGGCATCTCAGGGGCTGTGGGGAAGATTTAGTTATGGAAAGGCCTAGCCAGAAGGTAGAAAAAGGGCATGGCATGCAGTGCCCTGGATGCTGGTTTCTCATCTGGGTTTCTTTACTCTTTCTCCCTCCTCTCTAGGGATTCTCACTTGCAGTGGACATGGCAGAGTGCATCTCCAAGCCTCCCTCCACCTGGCCCATGGGCCCACAGCCCCCCAACACCTCCACTGCCTGCCCACTAGAACCTGTGAATATGGGGGTCTCAGAGCAGCAAATGCCACTGGAGCAGCTCCCATCCTCCCCAGAGCTGGGCGAAGATGAGGAAGTCACCTCCCCGCCAGATCCTGATGTTCCCTATCCTGACTTGGCCCCGGTCGTCTTCTTTTGCTTGAAGCAGACTACCAGCCCACGGAGCTGGTGCATCAAAATGGTGTGCAACCCATATCCTTTCTGAGCTGCCTCTTCTCCATCCTCACCTCCTGCCCCGTTCCTTCTCTCTCCCTATCCCCTGAGGGCGCCTTCCAGGTAAGCGATGAACTTTCCTACGTATTTAATGAAACGCTTTGTTCCTTGCTTACTTCTAAAGAGAACCTCAGCTGTTGCAATGTGTGATCAAAAGAAGCTGCTTGTGAAAGAACTTCAGAGAGAGATGCTGACAGCACAGATCATGGCAGAATGGATTGGAAAGAAGGAAGGATGGAGAGAAATATTGTAAAAGTGCTTGTTCTTCTCCTTCCCCACTCCCTAAGACAGAGAGGGGAAGCTTTTGGCCCAGGAGCTTGGCCACCATGAGTGGACGAGATGTCTCCTGCTTCTGGGCATATAGGTTTAGTGAGAGCTGGTAGGGAACCACCGGTCCTTGGTTGCAAAGTACTGTGGTGATCAACGTTTTTTTCCTATAGGCAAACATCACTGATTTTGCCCAGGGAGGTGGTGGAGTCACCATCCCTGGAGATGTTCAAGAAATTTGTGGAAGTGCCACTGAGGGACATGGTTTAATGAGCAATGTTAGTGGTAGGTGGACAGTAGGACTAGGTGACCTTAGAGGTCTTTTCCAGCCTTAATGGTTCTATGATGAGCTCTCCTGGAGGCATCTTTCTGTGATTTATGTCCAAAAACGTATTACAGGTGCGGCGGTGAGCCTCGTATGTCCTCTGGGATGCAAGCAAATCCTTTCCATGCAAGGGAGGCACCAATCATACACATATGTCCCCATTCACTCTTAGTGCAAGCAGGATCCTACAGAGCAGTCACGCAATCAACTACCACCTGCATGGCTAATTAGTACCAAGGTTGATAGTAATGCTATATAAAGCAGGCAGAGGGCAGTTGTTGCTTTTTGGATTGTGAGACCCTTCAAGGTAGGAGGAAGTGGAGGGTATGATGAATCGTCAAAGAGGTTGGTTTGAAATTTTATATAAACACCTTTCTGGTCATAAATCTCAGGTGGTGGTGCTTTCTCCCTCAGAATTTTTTAGCTCCTAGTTAGGTGTTTGTTATCTATATGGATGATTTTTGTGTTTTTGATGCGTTGGCTTCTAATTAAATCTCAGTGGCTGCACAACAGAGGCTTGGAAAATATCACCAATAGACTTTTCAGCTTCAGGATTGAAAACCCAAGTGAAGCCTGGAGGTGCTGTTAGCAGTAATAAGTGACCTTAGGTGCAGATGAATCTGCAGTTTTGTTTCAACTTCAAACGTAGTGCTTGAGTTTCAGATCTGAGCTCTTAAAGTTCAGAAGTTCTTGGAAAGGCTTTGCATTCTCAAGCACCAGTTATGGCTGAGAGTTTGCTGGAGATTCAGGGCTTCTGTTTTCCTTTCTATTGGTTGCTTCTTAAAATTTTGGAACTTCATACTGAATTATGCATTGCTTTTCAATCACTGCATGGCTGCTCTAGCTATATGTCCTAGAAATCTCTTTCCAACATGTCATGGGCTCAGAGCAAAGCATGATAGATTTGTGCATATGAAAAGACTACATTTAGAAGATGAGAGAAAAGCAATAGGCCAGATTTGGGAACCGGGTTTACTCCTGAATGGAGGAAGGAGGCTGTAGTATCCATGTTTCTGGCTTAAATCAGTCAAAACAATCCCTGCATATTACAGAGTTTGAGAACCTGTAGTTGTGTTCTTTGAGTTTGGTGCTGTATGCTCATGCTTGTGTTTAAATAAGCATACATGCATGACATTGACTATAGAGGAATTTTTCAAAGTAGAGGCTACAGAATGCCTTTCCATCTGGCCATCTGTGGCACATGTGAAGGGCAATGATGGGGCTGCTGGAAGCCTGTTGAAAGAATTGTTTCAGAGCTGTGATTTCAGCTCAGCTGTGTGAAGTTTGCTTACTTGAAAAGCAGAGACTGAGGAGGGAGGATTCTGTTCTTCTGTTTTTTTTCCTCTTTTAGTCCTTTTTTTGGAATGAATCATGTAGCAAGTAGTTGCGTTTTTTTTTTTTTTTTTTTTTTTTTTTTAAATGAGAGAATTTTGCTACAGCCTCAAGGTTGCTTACAGGTCATCGCGTATTTCTGGCATCGCATATGTTTTTGACAGCATCATAGAAATCATGTGATTCTATGCCCTGGCTGCAAATTGCTCACTGTGGTCTTTTCTCTATGAGGAAATGAGCTCATCTGTAAGGGGTGTTTCTATGAAAGTCAACTTGTGTCTTCTAAGAATATGCTTGCTTGATTTTTGCATTCTGAAGCTTTTTCACCTTTTTATATTGGGCTATCAACTTCCAGGGCTTTTGTGCCAAGCCAGGAGAAAGCTGAGTCAACACCACAGGGCAACATCTGGCCTCTCCTGAAGATTCAGCAAAAAAGGGAGGTATTAATTAAAAGCCTCTTAATCTTCTCATTGACTTTCTACTAGGGCAGAGCTTCATGATCATTATATTTGGAAGTGCTGTCAATGAGACTTAAAATGGAAGCTCTAATCATTAAGGACTATGTAGTAATTTTTGTAAGCACAAGGTCATTAACCACCAAATTTCCATTTAGGTAATTGCATTCCACCTATTTAAATCCCCCTCCCCTGAAGATTATTTTTTCTTCCATGAGCAGTCCTGCAATTTTATGTGCTATTAAACAACTGCCATAGTCCTTTGCTGCAGTGCAGTAAGAGGAGAGGGAAAAAAAAAAAAAACACCCAAACTTATGTCTGTGTTTTAAAGTCATTTCTAGATGCGTATTAGCACACAGATATGTGATGCTGTTTTTGCAAAACAAAGCAAATGAACTGGAAAAATCCAACAGGAATTGTGGGTGCAACTCAGTGTTAAGATACAGACTTTGTTCCAGGTAGAATTTGCAATGCTTTTCCCCGTATGGAATATTGACTGGGATGGCTTTAAGGATGGGATGAATAACTGCTTGAATTGCTGGATCGGATGATCTTTGAGGTGTTTTCCAACCTTGGTGATTCTGTGAAAGTGGGTTACTTTGGTTAATCTCTTTCTCTTTTGATGACCAGACACAAGGCTGGCTGCTCAGAATTGCAGATGGTGGGGCTGCTGCAGCTGAAGTGCTAACACAGTCAATATTTGAGATAGGACTATGAGAGAGGCTGTTAGATTTTTTCCTTATATAAAACCTAAACTCCATGTCAAATAAGATTTCAGGCTGAGCTTGAAGCGGAAATAGGGTGAAAAGTATGGAACGTGTTTCCAAAACAACTGTGTAGTGTTCATCTTATGAATTCATAAAATGTTGGGAACTAAATAAAGGCTATGCCACATGGTGCCTTGCACAAAGTGCCTGATGCAGACATTCAGGCATCTCTCAGTCTTCTCATAATTTGCAATGCACATCTCTGCTAGTCTCTAATCTCCTTGGGGTTCCAGGAAGGCTGCTTGCTTCACTCATCTTTGGGTCAAATGCAATAGATTTGGTTTATACTTTGAGACTTTCCTTAAAAAGCACTTCACAGGGGTCTAGACCCCCCTTAGCTGTCCTATCTATAATATTGATGTGACAGCGAGAGTGAGAGTGAAGTCTGCCATTAAAAAAATTGATGTACACACTTAATTTTTAGTACTGGGGGCTGTTTTATGGGGTATAAGTCAGGACAGCTACTCAAAACTGGTAGGAATGCTTATGTGTACCGAGGGCAATCCTGTAGCTTGTTAAAGATTTCCCAAATAGGGATTTTGCTGCCTTATGTCTCTAAATTTCCTATTACTAAGCTTCAGGCTGCCCAGGGAGGTGGTGCAGTCACCGTCCCTGGAGGTGTTCCAGAACCGTGTGGATGTGGCACTGAGGGACGTGGTCAGTGGGCTGTTGGTTAGACTAGATGATCTTAGAGATCTTTTCCAACTGTAATGATTCTATGGTTCTGAAGCTATCTTTCCTATAAACTGTCAAGGCACTTTTCAGCTTGGGCTGTGTGTTAAGTGCATAAAGAAACTGGACCAGCTTTGGGCACAATGATGGGAGAGCCAGGGAAGCCCAGAGGTCTGCTCCCCACCTCCTCCTGCCTGGTACCACAGGCATTGCTTCACACTCCATTTGCTCGTGTAGAAACAGTTGTAGGTTGCAATAACTGTGCTTCCTGCAGGCACTGCCCAGTGTGAACAGAGTGGAGAATCAAGTGCTGGAGGAGGGGGGAGAGTGATGTGTGTGGATCAGCAGTTGGCACTTCTCTCTGTGACGCTGAGCTGTGGTTCATGAGGACATGGTGATGCGTGCAGCTGAGGGGCTGACAAATCTTTTGCTTGTTAATAAGCTTTTGGTGTCCGGTTGTGTTATATATTACAGTTTGGGCGATTTGTTTTGTGTGAGTGAAATTCCATCTGCAGTTTCTGAAGTGTGTTGTGCTTGTTTTTTGCCTTAAGCAAAGGCTTATTTTTGCCTTGTGTGCTGTTAAACCCCCGCCTGCAATCCTTATGACAACTGGATGTAATTAATTAATAAGCTGCCTGCTTATTAATTAATAAATTTATTGCAACTTTTTAAATATTTGCTGTCTTACAGCCTGAGCTTCTGCAATCTTTTGATTGTGTTTACTTTTTATTCATCTACTTTTATTATTTATAGATGTATATATACATACATATGCACTTAAGTATAATTACATGCAATTAAAAATATACTTCAATTGCTTCTATTTTCATATCTACACATGCACAAAAGAAAGGTTCCCACCACTCTAGTGGGTAGAGAAAAACTTGAAACTGTGACCGGAAGGTATTACAATACATCAAAAACTGAGTGGCTTATGAATTTTAAGCAGTATTCATCATTCTTGAGGATGGGAGGGATCGTGGCTTTTCATTCTCGGGGTCAGCAGTGTCAGCATTTCTGTGCGTAGCTGGAAGCACTAAAACATCTATGTTATTCCTGCTTCTCCATTTCAGACAGATCTCTCCTGTTTCTCCTTGCAAATTTAGCTCACCGAGCAGGTGAAGAGTCTGGCACCTATTTGAGGTCTTGGGTGGATATATA